CATCAAATTTATAGATAATTTTGCAGGCTTTATCAGTCAAGGTTAGAAGTTGTTTTCCTTTAGAACTTGAAACACTACACTGTAAGTTCTCAGCCATTAAATTTGTCTTGAGAAGTCTGTTGTAATTCCTTTATAAGTAATTTAATTGATTTTCTGTAACAGCTTTAAAGATTTTGTTCTTGTGTTGGGCTTCAGTGATTTTTTGACTATGGTGTATTGTGGAGAGTTTCATTTGTGATTGGGTTCTATATGTCTCACTTATCTGTATATGTAGAAGTCAGTGCTTACTAGAGATACAGATTTAATGCAAGATATAAAAATATATAAGAATTTATATGATTGGGTTACAATGGTTTCCCACAGAATGAGGTTTAGAAAAGTACAAAAAGGTTGTCTGTGTTCTGGAGATCTCAAGGACCCAGTCAAAGAACTGGAATTCTCTGAAGTATCCTGTGAGAGTTTGCATCAGAAGGCAGAAAGTTCAGTGAAGTAAGGCAGAAGGTCTGCACTGGAATGTTGAAGGTCTGTGCTGGAGGCTAAAGAGTTTGTGCTGAAAAACTGAAGAGTCTGCCCTGGAAACCAGCAGGTGACATCCAAGGTGAAGATGAAGACTGAAGCCCCTCTGAATGATATAAAAGTGAACCTTCATATTTTGTTTCCCTTTTATTCCACTCAGGTGGCAAAACTATTAACTGGTGCCACTCACACCGAGGCTGGGTCTTCTGTCTTCAGTAAATTCCTTCAGCCACATCCAAAACTATGCTGATCCAATTTAGTTGGCAGTTTCTTACTCAAGTTCACACAATCAGTTAACCATCACAACCCACCCCTTGTCAACTTGATAACCAGATACATTTCCTTAAACCATAATCTCCAGATATAAAGAGTTCATAATTATACCTAACCTGTTGCAATTATCCTGCATACGAATAGAAGTGCACTAATACCAGCCCAGAATAAAAGACAAGTTTTCTTTGGTTGATGCTCACTCTTAATATTTCATAACTTGAACATTATAACATATGTTTAGCAATACTTAAGAATCAATGTTGTCTATCAACATATTACATAGTAAGCATATTACTATAGAACTACTACAATTACAATTCTTATTTCCATCACTGATCATGGGGTTATAGCTAGTATTTAAAACTACTTGCACTACCCATTCTGTATTCCCTTGGACTTCAGCAAGCACTTCAGCATTTCTTGGTTCATTCCTGAAAGTTCAGGACCATTTGCCAGCCTGCCTGACTTGGGTTGTGGTAATTTCCTATTGACCTTAATAGCAAGGGATGGTAACACTAGGAGGTGCCCTAGAGGCTCTCCTTCACTAAAAGTACCTTCCTTTCCTCTACTGTGGAGTAATAGTCCAATTGCCCCTTATTAGTCTGGCTCAGTCACCCCTGCCAATATTGTAACTTCTTTTTTACCTTGTTTCCTCAGAAGTAGGAGACAAAATGACCGGGAGGAACTCTTAGCTTCCAGTTCAATGGTATCATTGTTGTGCTTCTTGATACAAGCCCTCCTCTCTCTGGAACTAAGACTTCTATTCCAGCAGAGCATCCAGTCATGGTAACAAGCAAACTGTTGCTAGTGGATCACTAGGGGTCATGGTGTGAGGTACCATTCATTCCGATTTCCACCTCTTGATTCCTGGACCCATGAATCCTGGCTATGGGAAACAAGTACCATATAATGGATGCTGATTCAAAGGGCATATAGCTTTTTGAAGAACTTTGTTCCAGCCCTGCAAACTACTGCAACCTAGCTGGCACTGTTACTGTGTCTTCAAAAGATTATTCCATGATTCTACCAATCCAGCCTTTTCTGGATGGCGAGAAACATCATGAGACTCTTAAATTCCATAAGCACTAGGCCATTGACTCATTTCTTTGGCTGTAAAACATGTTCCTTGGTCAGAGGCAGTGCTGTGTGAAATACCACGACAGTGAATAAGTCATTCTGTAAGCCCATGGGTGATAGTTTTGGTAGAAGCATTACATACAGGTAAGGAAAAATCCATGTCTAGAATATGTGTCTATGCCAATAAGAACAAAGCATTGTCCTTTCCATGGTGAAAATAATCCAATAAATCAACCTGCCACAAGGTGGCAGGCTAATCATCCTGGAAAATGGTGCCATATTGATTTAGTATTGGTCTCTGCTGCTGGCATACTGAGTATTCAGCAGTGGCTGTAGCCATATCAGTCTTGCTGAGTGGAAGTCCATGTTGCTGAACTTAGGCATAACCTCCATCTCTGCCACAACGGACAATATCTTCATAAGTCCGTTGGGCAATGATGCAGTGGACGGAAAAAGAGGCTGACTGCTATCTACAGAGCAGGTCATTTTATCCACTCAGATGTTAGTCTTCTACTGAGGTCATTTTTTGATGAGTGTTACATGGGATACAAACATTTTTACATTCCTTGTTCATATGGAGAGGTCTACCCATCCCAAACATCATTGTTATCAATTTTTCAGTAGTTTTCCTTGTAAGTTCCAACCATCCAGATAGACCATTGGCTACCACTCATAAATCAGCACGGGTTACACATCACATATCTGGCCATTTTCCCTTCTAAGCAAAATGTACTACCTGTTACACTACCCAAAGGTCTTCCTACTGTGAAGATTTCCCTTCACCATTGTCCTTCAGGGATGCCTTGAATGCTGCAGCGATCCACTTGCAGGTGGTACCTACATAATGTGCCAAGTCATCTGTAAACGAGGCCCTAGCCTTCTCTTCTTCTGTCAGTTGGTCATAAGTTGTACCCTTTTGAGGCCACAGATGCATGCTGAAAGCAGAAAGCAATATAGCAGAAGTAGGAGCCATAGCATCTGGAAAACTTCTTTATGTGACTTACTTATGCCCTGTGCACCTACTCTGGCTCCAACAGTATCCCTATCTGCTACTCATACTTCAAGTACTGTTGGATCTGCTGGATCATATAGCCCTGGTGGCATAGCAGCCTGCACAGAAGCTTTGACCTGTTGCACAGCCTTTACTTGTTCTGGGCCCCATTCAAAACTAGCAGCTTTCCAAGACACTAGGTAAATGTGCTGGAGTAAAACACCTAAGTGAAGAATGTGCTGCCTCCAAAATCCAAGTAGGGCCACTAGGAATCATGCTTCTTTTTTGTCTATAGGGGAAGAGAAATGAAATGACTTACATTTTACTTTAGAAATGATATCACTACTTTTCCCACACCAGCAGTCTCCTAGAAATTTCACTGAGGTGGGAGGATCTTGAGGTTTAATTGAATTTATTTCCAATTGTCTGTCTCACAAACGCCTTACTAACAAATACAGAGTGGTTGTCACCTTCTGTTTATTTAGTCCAGTCAGCATGATATCATCAATGTAATGGACAAATATGATACCTTGTGGAAGAAAAAGGTGATTAAGTACTGCCGCTTAAGCCTGGTCACTCTGGGATCTAATTGAGCCCACTGCCCAGTTTTCCCATTGAGTAAGCATGGCCCTCATCCTAAGGTCTGGCATACAGAGAAGAGCAGTGTCAGGGCTCTTCAGGGATGCCAGTGCTCCCCTCACAAAGCTATTTCTCCAAGCATTAGTGACGTATACATTTTCTGCATTGTCCCAGTGTGGAGGATTAGGTTTAACATGAAAAATGCACTCCAGCATTCTCACTTCCCTAAGCCTCTGGATCCCCTCAGCAGCAGTAAATCAGGAAATATCAGGCATCTTTAACTCATTCATAGTGGGCCATCTTTTGATCCATACTTCAGCCTACAAGCTCAATAAACTTTTAACACCTTTTTTCTCTCCATGAGCTGCAATGTTGAGAATCTCTGCTTAATGGGCCCATATTGAAAAACTCAGCCCCCAGCCAGGTGGTGGTACATGGCTGTAATCCCAGCACTTGGGAGACTGAGGCAGGAGGATCATTGCGAGTTTGAGGCCAGCCTGGGCTACAAAGTGAGCACAAGAGCAGTCTGAACTGCATAGCGAGATCCCGTCTCAAAAAGAAAAAAAAGAAAAAAAGAAAAACTCAGCCTGATCAAAGTGTATGATTTAGTTAGAAAATTCAAGAAGTTCTTTTTGGGAGAATAGCAGATCTCCTCAGAGTCACACTATGTACCTCACCCTGAGGAGCCTTCTGTAATTTGAGCCTGGTTATATAGGTCTAGAGGCAAAAGTAGGACGTGAGAGTGGGGTCCTGAGGAGTATCAACATTATCATCTTAGTCAACAGTGGGTTAGTTTCTTTAGGTATACTAGGACAGGCCAGCCCCACAGGGAGTGGAGATGGGGATGCCTCCACCACTGTGGGTGGAGAAAGCTCTTCCTCTAGAAAAATAATCTCATTGGAGTCTAGTAGCTCAACATCATCAGCATTGTCAGGAGCCTCCCAAACATCTCGGTCTCAGTGTGTGTGATCCCATTATATTCCAATCAGTGCCCTCACCCTTACTTCAGTTGCGCTTTCAGGCTGAGCATTAAACTTAACACTGTATTTCAGCCAATTGAATTATGAAGGTCTGTGCTTGGATTACTGCAATCTCAGCCCTATGGCTAAAGTAGAGGAGAATCTCTTTCAGGAAGCACTTTGAAAATTTAAATTCTTTATCTGTTTATGGGACTGGGAATTTGAATATTTGAGATGCTTATTTTTCTTTATTAATTTGTACTCACCATTAGAAGACTTTGGATTCCTCATGGGTGTTTTGAGCTCTTTTTTTCAATAATTTGTCCAGAAATGCAATGAGCAATGAGTCAGCATCATTATATTTCCTACTCCGCCAAAAATATTCAAAAATATCATATACGGAGTCACTAAATTCCTTACATCTCACAATGGTGTATCTACAATGTGTTCATGCCAAGGACTATCAATATTCCCCACAGAGGAAGGAGAAACCATGGCACCTTTAGGTATCATCAAATTAGAAAGCCAACTCCAGGAGACATCAAAGCCGCTAAAAATTTTCAATTTTACAATTCTATTTCTGTAAAGCCATTCTTGGTACCAAAATCTGTGTTAGTCAGTGCTTAATAGAGAAATAGATTTAATACAAGTTATACAAATACATATGAATTTACAAGATTGGATTACAATGGCCACCTGAAGAGTCATGTGTGGAAAAGTGCAAAAGTGTGCTGGAGAGCTCAAGGATCTAGTCAAAAGCATGGCTCTCACTACACTATCCTGTGTGAGTCCATAAAAGGAAGCAAGTGTCTGTGATAGAAGTCTGAAGGGGCTGTACCAGAATCCAAAAGATGGCATCCAAGCTGAAGGTGAAGGTTGGAGCTCCTTGAAAGAAACAGAAGTGAGCCTTCCATTCTTGTTTCCTGTTTATTCCATTCAGGAATCAAAACCAAGCCATCCTATTGGTTACTGTCTCTCACACCTAGGCTGGATCTTCTCTCTTTTTTTATTTTAAAAAGAAATAAAACAAAATTTCAAAACAAGATAATAGGAGGGTAACAATGTTTAATACATTATGTATTGTTTTCTTTAAATTAGTTACTCAGAATACAAGATATAGGCATTTAAATGTCCAAACAACATTAGCACAAAACTCTACTTTGAATGAACTAAGAGAAATTAGTGGTATAACTATCTTAACTATCTTGTTTTTCCCTTCTTTCTTTTCTCCTTTTCTCATCCCACTTCTCTTTCCTTTTGAAGTTTCTTTCCATTTTATAATATCTACTGTACATTTTGGATCTTATTCACTGTTTCATCTTCCCACACTAGAGAGAAAATATATTTACACACATGCATCTGGTTTATTTCACTTCTGAGTATGGTCTCAATTTGCATCCATTTACCTATAACAGTCTCCAGCTTATCTTTCTGTATGGCTCAATATTACTCCATTGAATTAAAAACACCACATATTTTTTATTCATTCCTTGGCTGATGAACAATTGTGTTGTTTCCAAGATGTGGCTATTACAAATTCTGCTGCTATAAACATGTGCGCACATATAACACTGTAGTTACGTTTTTAATTCTTCTGGGAAGATAACTGGAAGGGGAATAGCTGAGACACCCAATCACAGTTTTTTTGAAGAATATCCACACCGATTTCCACAGTGGTTACACCTGTCTACACTCTGATGAACAGTGGAGAACAGTTCGTTTTTCCCGCAATTCCTCCAGCATTTATTATGGGTGGATTTCTTGATGATAGCCATTTTCTTGCTGGAGAGAGATGAAATCTC